AAATAGATACGATTTATTCTTATTACCTTAGAATTAAATTATATATTAATAGTAAATTAAAGTATATATATTGGTTTGGCAAATGTGTGAGTGAGTATGGTTACTTTAATAAAAACCTGCAGGTCCCCGGGGGTGAGGGGGGACCTCTCTTTCTCTTTCTTTCTTTTTATATATATATATATATATATTATTTATAAATTAAATAGAATATAATTTTAATAAGAACAAGAGATTATTAATAATTTTCATCCCTGATAGTATAGATTTAGTTAGGTAATGAGATCCAAGTATGGTGCATGATATAAGTACTCACACATTTACACTTAAACATAGTTATCATTACCTATTAATTAACGTAAAACGATCGTTTGTTATTATACATTGCGAAACTCGTTAGCGAAATATTCTGTTGGTAGTTATAACGATAATCCTCATTTTATCTTATTTTCATGTACACATTTTAAATTATTCTCCAACGTTTGGTGAACCTAATGCGCAAGCTTTCAATACCAATGAGAAGTCAAAGTTGAAATACCATAGAGGAGAGTGAGAAAGAGAGAGAGAGAGAGAGAGAGAAGGAGAGGAAGAGAAGATATTAGAAATACGTACATGTTCTATTTCGTACTACTATATCTGGAGTTACTAGCAGGATAGAAAGAGAAAGAGAATGAAATAGGGTGAGTTAGTAATGCATATTCCACGTACGTTATCCTAGAGCTTAGACGATCTACCAACTCTGATATGTTACAGGAAAATCTTGTAGGAAACTTTTCCATCGAATCTTTCCGCGATTAACTTGAGAAATATGACTAGTATTAATCTTCGGAATATACACTTCAACTATTCCTATAATTTGTTCTTAACTTCTCGTATTTACTTTTCTTTTATCTTTGCCTTTTTCGAATGAATTATTTCGAAGAATTTGGAATCGATCGCGTTATTCGTTTATTTAAAAAGTTAAAGTTTATATTAACGAATATAATGTTTGATATTGATGAAATATTTATAATAAAATTAGCGTGTTGATTGTGTTTAATTATTTTCATTTAAAAATGTACATTTGAACTTATCATCATTTGAATTTATTTGCAATTTGAATTAACTTTTGTTGCATCTTTGTAATATCGTCGAGAACGTTGTATTATTAGATTAACACGCATTATGTGTACCATCAAAGTTATTTGATTTGATTGTTGTTTAGTTATTTACAAGTTAGTTTAGGTATTTGCTTATTTAGAATAATCGAACTACGTTCCAACTAACTGTTAGAATTTATTTCTATTCGTGATGGTTATACTCCTGTTACACATGGATCGAATTTATACGGGTTATGTGTGCTATCGAAGTTAGTCGATTTCATTGGTATTTAGTTATTTAGAAGTTAAGTAATTAAAAGTTCAACTTGACTATTTAGAAATTTGTTTAGTTTCAATAATCGAAGTTAATAGCGATTTTCATATTTATCGTAAACACATTTTTGTTTCAGATATAATTTACATTGAAATATTATATAATAACACATGAATTCTAATAGCCAAAATTAATTCATTGTGAATCACTTATCAAATCGTAGTAATTATTTTTAATTAAATGAACTATTCTCCTTCATTTTTCACCCACACCCACTTTCATAAAAATCTCGATAATTTAATCACAATTACATTCTTTCTTCGACATTCCTCATTTCTTAATTGACGTCTCTCAATTCTTATATCTTTTTTATTTTCCTTGTCCTATGGATTAAAATTAAATTTCCGATTCGATTTCATTTGAATTTGATTTCGCGTTGTAAATAATTATTTTATTTTTCTCATTTTTTTTTTTTCAAGAGATCAGCTTATATAATACTCTGCTGTAAATTTGATCGATACTTAGAGTTTGGTACATAAATTTATTCTCTTTTCCCCTACAATTTTTTTCGTAGAGTATTACACGTCATATCGAAGAATATCAGTTTCGTCGGTTGAAATTCTTTCTATTCGATGTTCCAGAATCGGAGGGATAATCACGGCTCGGGCTCGACGGGGAATAAAGTCGTTCGAGCTTTTCAATGGAGCGTCTACGTGAAATCGGATTTTCCATTGTGTTATATGTATGTATAAGTTCTTTATTTTTTTTTTTTTTCTTTTTTTCATTCACAAAAAACGAGAGATTGATATATATATAAAGTGAGGGAGGGGGAAAGATATTAAAGAAGAATTCGACGCCTCTTCTATTTCATTCTTCGATTATTTCTTTTAGGTGAACAAGACCGTCGAGAAAACGCATAGAGTTATGTAAGTTATATGTAAGTACATAGATAGATATGGATATATATATATATATATATAGGTATGTGTACGTGGGTGAGTAGGAGGAATCCCAGATGACATGCATCGCACGATCATCCTTCCATTTCCTATCTTTTTCAATGTTTTCTTTTCTTTTTCTTGTTTTTTTTTCTTTCTGTAAAACTTATTTCCATATCACCGACTAAAAAAAAAAAAAGACGACCAGAAATTTTCTCCAGACTTTATGGATTTTTGTATACGGCAAATCGAACGTGAGATACATCTATTTTGTTCTTCTCCCCCCCCCTGCGTTATATAGTATCGAGGCAAAAAAAATGTACAAATTACAAGGGGAAATAATAAAAAAAAACAACACGTATATTATACACAGAATTCGGGAATTTGTTAATAATGATTATGCAAAAATTGAATTAGAAGAGAGACGAAAAATTAAAGACGTACAGGAACATTTAGAAAATTTGACACAATAGCACAAAAGACGTCATGACGAGTAAAAATAAATAAATAAATTGTCTCTGAGTTTCATTTTGTTTTATAGATTCGTATTTTTTTTTTACGTTCATCATTGTGCTGCACGTAACTCGTTTTTTCTTTTTTTTTGGAGGAAAAAGTCGACTTCATTGATGTATGAAGAAGAAGAAAAAGGGGTATCGCATGTATTATACTTCTATATCCTGCATCCTTTACTATCTCTAGTGCATACTGGAAACGAGGTAAAGGGCAGGAAGTAAGAGAGAAAGAGGAAAAGGAAAGATATACCCGGAAGCACCTGGCTTAGGATTTGCATGGGACAATATCTTGCGACTGATTTATCCTTGAAGAAGAAAAAGAGAAAAAGAAAGGAAGAAATGGAAGAAAAGAAAGAGAGAGAGAGAGAGAGAGAGAGAGAGAGAGAGAGAGAGAGAGAGGAGAACAGGCGTATTCGTAAAATTTATTTCCTCAGTGCCTTATGCGCCTTCTGCGAAATAAAGGAAGCTCCCTCTACCTCTTCCTTTTCTACCTCTTCTACTTCTTCTTCTTCCCCTTACATTTATTTTTTTTATTTTATTTTTTCGTCTTCCTTTCGTTTCTTTCTTCCTTCCTTCCTTCCTTCCTTTAGCCCATTTCAGTTACGCCTCTCCACTACTCAGATTTTGTTTCCACCCTTTAACCGAGCGCGGATTTAACTTAAAGGCAACCCCCAGCCCCACCCTCCCAGTTACCTTCCAAATGTTTTTCCTTTAATTTATTTTTTTTTTTCTTTTTACACAAATATTTTTCCAATAATAATAATAATAAGGAAATTAATCTCTTGTTATTAACATTTAAATAATAGTTAAACGCGAATAACGATCGTTGATTATAATTGTATGAAAGTTTTTGTATTTTAATGATATTATTAGATACAAATAGTTTGGATAATTAATTATTAGACGATATCAATGGTAGATATTTTATTTTTACTAAGATTTTCGAATGATTAGAAAAGATTTGGAACTGAATCTTTTATATGTAACATTCTTACGAATTCAGCCACGCGTATCACCCAAACTCGAATCAGGTTGGGAACCTTTCGTCTTTTATTGCCAGTACTATGAAGGGAGCGGCTTCTTTCTATGTCGTTCTACAGGATCGAAGATACAGGACTTACTTACCAAAGAGTATGAGAGAAAGAGAAAGACAAGGTGGAATGTAAAAGACCATTGACTTGTCCTCGCGAAAGCTCGACGCCACCATTTACGAGCTTTACTGTTCGGTTTATCGCTGCCAACTTTGACTCCTCTCGCGAAGGGTTTTCCTTTTCACGATTTACGATCGATGTAAATTCTCTACTCTATTTACCCCCCCCCTTTTATTTTATTCTCTTTCTCTCTTACTTTCTTTTTTGTTTTCCCCCCAATCGTTTTTGTCTATTCCTATCTCTCTCTCTTTAATGTTTTCCTATTTCTCTTTTATTTTTTTATTCTCGTAAAACTATCGTCTAGAAAAAAAAAGAAACAAATTAATTAAACTCTTTACAACGTTGTAAAATTAGAAATAGGGCTTGCTTTTATATTTCTTCTAAATTCTATTTTATTTTATCTATTATATATATATAAATTTATTTGTTTAATCGTTGTTTGTAGAATTTTCGATACAACTTTTACATTTTTATTTCTCAATGATTTATTTTTAAAATTTGTTAGAAGTATATATAATTTACATAAACTGTAATTATACAATGAAGCACACAATGTTAAAGAGAGAGAGAAAGAGAGAGGAAAAAGGAAATTAGAAACTTGTCCTAGGTAAAAGGAATTCAATTTTCATAATGTTCACTTTTTCACGTGAACGTCCAACGAGAACGTCTATCGTGGCCACGAAATTAAATTGTGGGTTATTGTAAAATCTATCGGATGCCAGCTACTTTTTATCCGATATTGTTAGATAGTAGATGAAAAAGGTTTTGTATATATATACGCATACACACACATGCACATATTTTCACTCACAATCAGAGGACTTTGTCGCTTTTTTAGGAAATCGTTGAATAGGAAATCTTCGATTGTGTCATGAATGCTGTTGTTGCATATTATAATTTATAATGATTTATATTAAAGGTATTAGGATAAGGATTCGAATAAAAATTGATTAACTAATTTTACTATAGTGTCTCGTGCCGCGATAATAAATGGAATTAATTAAATTTTCAAGTTATTAATTCGATCGAGAGAATCTCGACTCACCCACCGTTCAGAACGTGGACCAGAACGCTCGCTGATTCAGCCGTGGATGGGGCACACGTGTAATTTCCAGAATCAGCAGGTAACGCCTTGGATATTAAAAGACGCGATGTTCGTGTTTGCTTCTCCGTAACGACGTTTATTCCACCCCTTTGACTATAATTGATAACGTGATCGCCCTTGTACCTGAAAAAAAAAAACACACACAAATCGTATTCTCTATAAATTAAACAAATATTTGGAAAATATTATACGAGAGTAAATATATCGTTTTAAAAAAGTGCAATTGAAAACGATCGTTGTTTATGTAATAATTTGATAAACGAATTCTTAAAAAATTATTTGCACAAAGTTTGGAATTATAAATAAGATTCACGAAATAGAATTGAATACGTAAATTTATTAAAAACTATAATATATTATACGTTTGTGCACGTTCGCGTAGATTTTAGTACAGGTGAATTATTATTCGAATTGGAATTTTCCGGAAAATCCAATATTTGCTGTTGAAGTTGCATTGTCAGCAAATATACCTTTGAAGTGACGTCTACTATTATGCAAGTACAAAAGGTGTCGACCCTTCTGTACTCGCGAGCGCGTACAGAATTGAAACGAATTGTATCTCTTCTGCAGCGTCAAAGATTGAACAAAAAAAAATGATAAAGGATGAGGAATTGAATGATATTACTAAATGTAGTTTTCATTGGAATTTATTATTACACAACAACAACAAAAAAAAAAAAACAAAAAATAAAATATATATATTCTAACAAATAAATACAAAACAATTTTGTAAAGAAATTGTGTTATTAGAAATACTCACCAATAAATGAAGGAAGGTGGCTCGGGTGTTTGCAGTACGATGCAAGTCAGGTTTATGTCGCTTCCACTCTTGATGTACAATTCCGAATTGCCATTGATTTTCGCTTTCGACACTGCCGAAATAACGTATAACACAGAATGGTATAGAGATATAGATAGTGAATTTAACTCTACCGCGAACTAAAATCACTATGCATGTGGTTTATATCGTGAGAGGTGGCACCTAGTGATAATTGATTTAGAGTTGGGTAAGCAATACGAAATGCGGTATTGTAACTCGTAACGCCACCACCACTGTCGTTTACATATGTATTTATATATATATAAATTCATAGAAGATATATAAATATATATATATAATATAATTTTTGAGTATTTTAATTGAATTAACGTCGTTATCGACGATCGTGAAACTTTTTAAGGGAAAAATATTGAAATTCATACGAGAACGGTTAATGAAATTTTGTCAAATATTTACGTAAACTATTGATCACGTTATTAATTTTAGTTTAGTTTCTTTTCTTTTTTTTTTTTTTGTCCAAACGTTTCGATAATAATAAAATAAATGAGGAATTATACTTGCCCACTACGCTCAAATTAAATGCTTGACTGATTTTCGGTTCGGTCGAAACTTGGCACTCATAAGTCCCGCTGTCTCTGACTTGGGGTGAACTAATTTTTAAAGTCCATTCGTCGCTTCCATCGCTGTGCAATGATTGAAAGCGTTGATCATTCGTATAAGTTAAAATTCCTACGGTTAGTATGTGTAGATCTCGTTTTCTAATCCACGATACCTGTAGTCAAATATATTAAACAATATTAATGAAAGGTAGCATAAGATATAAGTATATCAAACTATTTTTTGTATTCTAATTAGTTAGCCAGTTTATATATTTAATAATTAATCGTGTTAGATAATTGAAAATAATTTTCATGAAATACATTTTATTGTGAATTATTCAAAGTATTATCAATTAAAAATAAAGTAGACTTATTAGCGTAGATATTTTCTAAAATTAAGAATTAAATATTGTCGATAGTATGGGAAAAAGTTTGTAATTTTTGTTACATTCGAGGGAAAGTTGGTTGATGAAAATTGTTCATAGGAGACTACCGATGCAATGAAACGACTCCAACAAGGGGACGATGATCATTCCCTGTTGATCCGGAAACGAGTGCTACGGTGAAATTGCACAAAAGTGAAACAAAAAAAAATGAGAAAAAGAGAGAGAGGGAGAGAATAAAAAAGAAAAATAGTCAACAGAACGTTTATCGGACGATACGCGCGTGACGATTGCTATTGCGATTTTCTATGATCTGTCCCGACGTCATAGTATTCGTGAAAACGTACACTCCTGTGCATCTTTTTTTCCCCCCAAAAGAGAATTCTAAAGTTCTACCTTTTGCTCCGGTCAAAAGAACTTTTTTATTATTTTTTGTCTTTTTTTATTTCGGATTCAACGCGCGTATAAAATGAATCATCTATAACGTTTCCATGACATTTGTATCCTTACTCGCACGTTATATATATATTACAATGTTTTTTTTATTTTATTTTATTTTTTCGATCGACACATTTATTTTAATATTAAAAAAAAAAACAAAAATAGAATAAGTCAAGCAGTTTTAAACGTGTATAATGGCGAAAAAGTTAATGAAAAAATAAAATGCATGTATATATCTATGTTTCAAGATAAAATTGAACGATCTTCGTGACAATAGCTGACTCATTTTTAAGTTGAGAAAATATTTTTAGAAAATATTTCGATCTTCTTAAGTCATCGCGTCATGACTCTCGTATTTTCCTTGGACACACACACACACACATATATATGTATGGATTCGTGTGTCCTACGTTTGTGCGTATGTATGTCGAGTGGACGTTTGCGAAATTTGATTTATCGCCGATTACGATCGGTGATTGGAGCACGACGGCTTCCTGGCGCGTCACCGAGCTTGATGCATGAGTCCAAGCGATAACGCGTGATGTCGACCTGTTCTATTCTCCATCTCTGTCTCTCTCTCTCAAACACACGTACACGCACGCACGCACACACACACACACACACACACACACACAATCTCCTTGCGTGAATTTATCTCTTTGTCGAAGTTCTGTCACACCTATGACGCACCTATCCGCGAAATTACGTCAAGAGTGAACGCGCGTGCCGATTTTCAAGTTATAAGTCAACAAAACATAAGATTAGGGTCATTAGAAATAACTATTATCTTTTTTAAACAATTACCATATCAATAATTAACTATACACGTTGAATAATCGTGAGAATTTTCATCTTTTTGAATGATGAACAGAAGAAGAGAGAGAGAGAGAAGATTATTGTGAGATCAGTCAACCGTTTACATTGAAACGAAATACGAAATATGAATTTAGAGAGAGAGGTAGGAGGTTATTGTGAGATCAGTCAACCGTTTACTTCGAAAGGAAAATACGAAATATGAATTTAAAGAGAAAGAGAAGGAAAAATAAAAGAAATAACCAACGGAGAAGAAGAAAATGTTTCTTTCCAATCGAACGAATTCATATTTGATAAATTTGATGGAATTTTTGTTAGAAAAATAGGATTTTTCAATTTTAATAACAATACCGAATGCATACAATATATACACGCATATAACAAATTTTTTAATGATTTTACAATCTTTATTCTTTATATTTTCATTTTATCTTATATTTTTGAATAACTAGGAAAGTAATAGGTTGACAACGTGAAATTTATTATTAATTATTGATATTCGTAAAAATGTTTTTCGTTGTTTTATTTTTCAATCGTTCAGTTGTTTTCTTTCTGTCTTTTAATGTTTTTAATTACGAGAAAGAAATAAAATATGCAGATAAAACTTACAGCACGATCTCCAAGATTGCGTACTCTGCAATGTAAGTAAGCGGTTTGACCGACTGTTGTCGTAGTTTCTCTCTTGGTTGTGTTGTCGAAATAAGGTTGACTAAAGGGTTGCTCCCAGTATGCTGAAGAATGATGCTCGACAACCGAGCCTCCGCTTTTTGACGCACATTCTGCAAACAAATAAAAAAAAAAATACAAATAAGTGGTTAAGCTTTGAGAGATGATACATCAAATAAGAAAGTTGCTTTAATTTAAGTAGATTTTAATGTACTTTCCTTGGGGCTTTTTATCTTTCTAGTTTTATTATTAATTCAACGTAATTCGTTTTTCGTTTAATATACATTTTATATATTTTTGAAAATATTATCCAGTTTAATTATACTCTAATAACACGTTTTACCTTTTACGTTATCATATTTTTCATTCGTCGCGTTTATTTGATTTTTTTTTGTGAGAACATGTAAATTTAAATGAAGTTAAATAAATTTTTGTCTTTAATTTTGTGCATCGTTAATGTAAATCTTCCGTAAAAAAAAACCGTATATTTATATTATAAATATATTTTAGTCAAATTTTGCACCAATATCGTGCGTGGGTTAATTTTCCCCTTCGATGTAATATAATTATTTAAACAAAAATCTCTGTGACAAAATTCGTTAATACTATTTAGGATTTTTAGAATTAAAAAAATGGAAAAGTTAGGAAGATTTAAGTTTTTTAACAGAAGAATTAACATTTATTAGTCGAAGTAAAAGAGAATAGGATAAGCCAAAGCTTTCGCGTACTTGAGCACAATCGTTTTCGTTGGTTTGCCGGTTCGCTTACTTTCTCGATTCGATTTCCTAGCACGATATTGGAAGGGATGGTAGGAGGGGGTGGGTGTACGCGTTTTCCAGGACGACGACGACGACGATTTCTTACCAAATGAACTCGGTAAAACGTCTTCTAAGTAAAGGATAGGAAAGAAGAAAACTTGCACAAGTCCGAAAATTTCAACCAGGGTTTTTCTAACATTACGCGGGAAAAAAGGTCTTCTATAAAAAGAGCTTCACCTTCTTTTTACCAGTTTTTTTTCTCTCTCTCTCTCTCTCTTTCTTTTTGCTAAGACCTCAGTCGATGCCTGCGAATTGCTCGATTTCGAAAAAAGATTTTCTCGTTCGTTTCTTTTGGAAAAGGAAAAAATAAGAAATATAAGAAACCACACACTGGACTCTCTCTCTCTCTCTATTTTTCTTATAATTTTTATTTTTTTTTATCTCAATCCCTGTTTATCCATAGAGGTTTATTTATCATTAAAAATATATCTGTTACTTATTTTATTTGAAATAACATTTAAAATGATTCATTGCGTTTTCGTTTAGGAAACTATATCCTTCTAATATAATTTAAAAAATCGTTTATAAAAATATATAAGAGAAATAAATATTTTTAATCGTAAGATTGAAATATTTTGTAAACATTGCTATAAGTTTAGTTTTCATTTTCTTAGGTAATTCATTTTCTTTTTATTTAATTTGACAAATGTTGAATTTTCGTATTTAGTCGTCAAGATCTTTTATATATTTTTTCTGTTGAATTTGTGAATTTTTTCTTTTTCTTATTTTTTTCATAACGATGAAGTTCTTATATCGTTTTTTTTTCCTTTTCCATCGTAAACGATCTTGAAAAGTTCGAGCAATCTCAATGTTCGATCTCATAGTTCTCGACTATGAAACGATCTTCCGCACTTGCTTTGCTCATTCGCCTTCACACGTTTCCTATCTTGCATCCTTTTTCTCTTTTTCTCTTTCTCTTTCGTTGAACCAACCAGTGACCTTCTTCGCTTCGTCGAAATTTCCATTTCAGAGAAGATCGATAGCGATAAAGTTCACGGCACGGTACGAACGGTACGAACGGTACGGTACGACGGTGCACGGTTCACTCTCTAAGGTACAACTTTTGCTGCTTCTAAGATTCAAAAGATATGACGATAAGGTAAAGGATGAAAGAAATGACGCGTGTGCTTGACTCTAAAATATGAGAGAAAGAGAAAGAAAGGAAAATAATAGTAAAAGAAGATATATATATATCCACGTTTATTTGATATTCATAGAAAAAGTATTTCCGAACTATTTATTTTTAAAAAGAAAGAACATTTTTCTTCTTGCTTTTAATAATAGTATTAATTACATTAAAATGCAACAATCATATGTCGTATTTTTATCATGTTTTTGTCTTTATTTTTGGTAAAGTTTAAGAGACATTTTCTAGATATTCGCGATAGTAAGAAAAAAAGAAAAATAGAAAGATACTACATTTCCATCGACATTATTTCGCGTAATTGCGATTGGAGCTATATCCGAATGATACGACGACGAATTAATTTAATTGATATTGACATTGGCAAGTAATTAAATTCGATCAATCGAGAACATCAACGGATAAATTTATAATAATACTTGTTTATATTCTGTTACGTTTTATTTTATTTATTATTTGCAATTTTGTGGTTTGCTTTTGTATTTTCATGCAAAAGTAATTGTTTTATTCCTTTTCTTTTTCTTTTTTCTTTATTTTTGATATATAATATTAATTGAGAATATATTTCAAATAATACTGATAAATAATTACATGCAATATATTAATATACGTTTGTAATTATGATAGCCTTTGAGATAGTCTGATTATTTGTATACTAACTGATATTTATTAAACCTGGAGAACTCATTTTGACGTTCAATCCAAATGATGTCACCATTCCGTGATACAACCCTTTGGATTCGAAATTTGATTACTATTTTGTCAAGCTCGTAACGAATGGTGTTTGCAATACGTTCTAAATCCGCTTGATTGACGAGTAACTGCATCGATTTTAGTTTGATCGATTCGTGTGTGTTTTTTTACACGATTGATTGTTTACAAAATCAAGAAGAGAAAAAAAAAAGAAATAGCATGATCCTCGTTTGATCATCATCGTATAGTATCGCGAATGGAAATAGGATATACTCGGATGTGATTGAAATAATTCATGTGATATTTCAAATGCAATAATAATTTATAAAAAGATATAGAAATTTTTCATAGAAGTTACAGAAATATATATATATATATATAACCCGGAAAGTTTTACTTTTTCCACAGTGAAAAGATTGTAAGGTAATAGTACCGAAGAAGACTATGTCTAATTACTTGAGATTGATTGGAAAATTAATAGATCTCTGGTTTTCCCTTCCTTCGTTGCACGAATTTCAACGGCAATCAAAGTGGATAATTTCCAACAGCTGCAAGTTCTCCCGTTGGCAACTTGGGAAGAAAGGAAGAAGGAGGAAAGGAGGAAAGATGAGGGGGATAGGTAAGAAGGTAGGTGGATAGGTGGGTGGGTGGGTGGTTGGTTGGCTGCTTGGAATCGGGAAAGACAGAGAGAAAGGGGCGAGAGGGGGAGGAAAAGGACGAGGAAGACGACGTCATGCGTCTCTCTTAAACGTTACTCAGAAACGTTTCAACAAGACGTCTCGTCGTTCACGACATTCTCGCAAATTTAACGCCAGCAGAGAACCCATTTGCATTCTCATAGGATGCCATTCGCGCGTTCTACAGCTTAATATCGTATTCTTCGCGATAATCCTTTCTCATATTCGATCGGAAAATATTTAAACGCTTTTGTTATGTATATATTATATAATATGTAAATACGTAAATGCACTTTTATGCGTTCAAATATAATTTACTTACATGCGTGTTTCTATATACGACTCGAAATCATACTCAAAGTAGTACGAAAAGAATTTATGTGGACGTTTGTATCTTTTATTTTAAATAATTATTTCTCGTATATTTATCACGATCGTTATTATTTTTCACACACACACATTCATATTAGATATTATATTGATATTTATTTGGATGTGTAAAAATTGTATCTTATGGAACAACCTGGTATTATTATATTCGAGAATTTTTGTTTGTTAATTCAAACGCGGAGACATTTTTAAAACTTTTCAAATAGTCTCGTTCTTCTCGTACTTTAACATAAGTAAAAGGAATGAAAAATTAAAAGTACAGAAGAAAAGAAAAAAGAAAAGAATGAAAGGGACAAGGAGGAGGAGGAGGAGGAGGATGCAACTAACAAATTCATCCAGTTGCCGATCCCTGTTCTCGTCTCATTCTGTTCCACCCTTACACGCAGACGTTTTTCACAGTTTTTTAAACGCTCTTTTGCCGCCTACCCTTCTTCTTCTTCTTCTTTTTTTTCTTTTTTTTCTGTACTAATACTACTACTAACCCTCCGGCCGTCAACAGCTTCCGGAAAAACATGGCCAACGACCCGCAACCGTCCGGAACTTTCCGGACGATGAGAAAAAGTCGACAGCGTCTTCATAAGAGGCAAGAGAGTGAATGAGAGAGAGAGTAAATGAAAGAGAGAGAGAGAGAGAGAGAGAGAGTGAGAGGGAGAGAACAGAAACGAATGAACGAGGGTACACACACTCACTCTGTTTACGAAACGTCTTCGTCAAGTCTCTTTTCAACCCCACCTCACCCCCATTTTTAAAAATCGACTTGCTTCTTTCTCTCTCTTGTGAATAAGGAATAAAAAAAAGAAAAGAAAATAAAAAAAGAGAAGATAAAAATAAAGAGGGAGAGGGAGAGGGTGAAAAGAAATTCTCATGAATTTTCTCGTGGCTGCTTTGGTGTGCTGATGCTGCTCTTGAGAGAACTCTCATCTCCGATAACGTTACGGTTAAATTGAAAAATTGAAGGGTCGGATAAAGTACGGCATGCTGTTATGTAATAAAAAGAAATAAGAGAAAAAAAAAAGGGAAATGTTAAGTAATTATTATATAAGGGGTTAGGTACGGGGGGAGGAGGGGGGTGGACCTATCTACTTCTACTTCTTTTTCTCGCGATATACTTGTGTTTTAAATGAAATTACAATGAATATATGAAGAAAAAAAAAGAAGAAAAAATTGATATAGAAAACTCTATTCTCTGGTTTATTTTATATTTTATTTTTTTTTATACTAAAGTTAAATGTTTCATTTCGTTTCGTTTCGTTTCTATGTATATATAATATTTGAAATTATTAATATTGAATAGGTATAATATAATTTTCAAAGCAGAGTATCTCACATTAAAAATGTATGAGTACTCGTAAGAAAAATATATACACCGTTAAATATGACAGTGTTTACGT